GCCACTCATCTTAAAGTGGCTAAGGTTGAGAAACACTGGAGTAGAGGGTATAAAATAAGACATGCTTGCTTCAAGGTTAGAAATGTTCTCCATCGTCCTAATAAAGTAACTGCCTTCTATTGCATTCTGTTGGAGAAAAATGCTGTTAACATATCCACTTGTACAGCTCCGTTGGTTAAATTGTAATTCAAGAGGAGTGGCAAGCTAAAAATAACTCCAGTTAATGCAGAAAAACACTTGGTCAGGCACAGAAAGGTCAGGGGAATTAATGCGGTTTGCACACATGGGCGCACGTACATATGCTCCGGAATAGCCTGCTGGCCAAGGAACAAACACACGAAGAAAACTTGAGAATCGTGGCATTTATGCTGTGGCTGAAATAACGGAAAGGAGTGCCCACAAAACTAGGGGCAGGTGAATGATCAGTTTTGGTTTCTCTCAGGTTCTCGTTTTTGTGAATTTGTCAGATTTGATTAATCAGATCTGACTTTTTTCCCCTTGGCAGACTTGGCAACTTTAAGGAGTCCACAGCTCTTAAAGTTGCCAAGTTTGAGAAACCCTGATCTAGATACCCCGTGCCCTGGAACACCTATTTGTCCTCACAAAATTTCTGTGCAGAAAATATCCAATATGCCTTTAAATGCTGTCTTTCGTAGATGAATCGCCTTTCTTCGTGTTTTGCCAAGTTCTGGGTTAGATTACTGCCCTGTGCTATCTGTGGGGCGGCTCTTGGAGACAGTCTGAGCTCCAGTTTGTCCAATTATATTTTTTTCTTCCTTTGTGTTCAAGTGCTGGATTATTAGGGACCCCCCACCCACCCCCTCCCCACTTTCCTCTTTCAACATAACAATTTCTTTTCAGTTTCTCTTTTTCCTTATAAACTGACTTGGAAGGCAGAACGAAGAATATTCTGTTATTTTAAAGAAATGAAATAACCAGAGGTACGTTGGGGGATCAAAAGAGGCATCGTGCTCTGCAAAGACAAAAAACTCCTTCATAGTTTCACACTCTCTCTCTTAAGCAAAGCAAAACAGAAACAGTTCTGTCAGGGGAAAAATACACACCAAGGTGTGTATCTTAATGAAACTAGCATATGAAAATGCATTGTTAGAAAAAGTATCTTTGGAAAAAGTGCACGCAAGGCATATTTAAACACATGTTCTGCAACCTAGTTGTCTAAAAGCACAAGAAATATGTGCACAGACATGCTTATGAATTCACACTGTATTACTTGAAGGTTTCTCCAGTTGATGAGGACCTGGAATAAAGAACGGGAAAATGAGAAACTGAGAAAAATTGATAGTAGAGAACGTTATCCATCTCTGAGACAGAGGAAGAGAGAGGAGTTGTAGGCCTGGAGTTACCCATTTAGTAGGTGTTCTGCAATGTTTGCTATGTTTTGGTAGCATTATGCATATAAAGAAGGAATTACTGTTGATCCTAGAGAAAGGCCAAGTGTATATCCAGAAGAAGCCAACGATGTATCCCCCTTGGAACAGCACTTTCGATGCCCACATCCACAAGGGCCGGGTCATGTACATTGTTGTGAAGGACAAGAGCGCGGAGATGGTCTCCGAAACAACCGTGGAACTCAACCTAGTTGCAGAAAAGTGCAACAGAAGTAATGGGAAAATTGAAATTTGGGTAAGTTTCAACACCTTGGACCTGCATTAACTTCTAAAACCTTTGATAGAATGGGTCCGTCCGCCCATCCGTCCTTCCCTCCGTCCTTCTGTCCTTCCCTCCCTCCCTCCCTTCCTTCCATCACATTTGTAAACCACCCAGTTTACAACTCTGGGCAGAGTACATCATTAAAAAGAAATTATCAGCAACAATGGGACCAAAAATATCTCTGAGTACATCCCAATTTCCTTTTTTATTTTATTTCATTGTCTTCTCTTTCAGCTAGAACTAAAACCCCAAGGAAGGATGTTAATGAACGCGAGATACTTTTTGGAAAGCACCGGCAAGTATCAATACTGCTCATGTTATTTTCAGTGCTTTTAGCATTTCACCCCATCCCTGCCCAAAAGTTCAGGTTTGACCACAACTCTTTGAAAATGCATGACATTAAAGCACAGTTAAAAGAATACTTTGAAATAAAAAAACATATCAGAGCTGCAGAAAAGGGAAAATGCTGGTTTAAAGTGCTCCAAGCCTTCTCTACTAGAATTAAGGGGTGTGTAATTTTCTCTGTTTTCCTTTTTCTAACAAGATCTTCTTGTACCCAAAGAGCTGATTCAGACCCCTGTGGCTATTTTTCAGCACTCCATTCTTCCACATATTTATCCATTTAAGTTCTCCCTGTACAGATGCTGTGTATTTCCTGCCTCAAAATGGACTTTTATCAATCATGGGTGAGGGCTTCAAAGAAAGGCTGAGTCCTTTTCACATGACCGTCACTTCTGCTATAAAAATCTGAGGCCGTTTGTTTCACATCACCATCTTCATTAGGCTAAAACCAAGTTTCTTAATGGGATGATGGCATCTCTTTCAACATCTCATAGCACTTATGGGAACTGCTCTAAATCAGGGTAGGATTCCCCTAGCAAGCTGGATTAGGCTAAAATGGGATGTGGGATTTGTGGAAACGCAGCCAAAGTTCACAGCATGTTGTATGAGCCGGACCACCACATTAAGCCATATAGGGAGGGGTCTCTACAGGTTGTGGTCAAAAAAGTCAAGATGGCAACATTTGTTTGGGCTCAGTGGATCACGCAGACTCAGTTTTCTTAATCAGAATTTAGCATGAACTATGTTGTCTGGACACAGAGTTGTCCTAGCTCATCAACCTGAGCCAAAGGCCCCAAAAGGAAGCAGAAGGAAATCATAGTTGATATCTCAATTTGAGAACTGCTGACCTTGTCCTGGTTGATGGTCAACAATGCCCATCAGCCTCAGCAGAATCACTTTTAGTTGGGGATGATGGGAATTGTGATCCGGCAACCTCCAGAAGAGTTTTGAGTTTTTTGCTCCATGAAGCCCATGTTTTAGTTATGAAGTGGGGAGATTGTGTTTAATGCACCCTACATGAAGATATCCAGCTCATGAAGAGCAAATATAAACAAACCCCCTTCTTCTTGACATGGCTGGTTTTTTCCACAAGCAGGGAATTTTATTACGGGGGGACAGTGAAAAGTATAATCTCTATCACACGCTTTACTGGCGAAGTCCAGAAATAACATGAGCACCGCTAAAATTCTGCTGACAGTAACGATGGCTCTAGAGATTTTAGGAAGTGTGCCTCACTATTTTTATCAGCTGGGGTGTTTCTTGACAGTTTTTCACGCTGATTTAAATACGTGTTATTTTTGTTCATAGCATGACCACCAGATTTCTTCATCAGAACTACCTTTCTCTTTTTCTGTCTTGTGCTCAGATGATCCAGGGTTTATCGACTGTGAAAAGGAGGGTTTTTTCTCGCTACATCAGCGAAGAGGAGCTATTAAGCAAGCCAAGATTCATAATGTCAAGTGTCACGAGTTTACAGCTACTTTCTTTCCCCAGCCTACGTTCTGTTCTGTGTGCCATGAATTTGTCTGGTACGACCGAGGGGATCCTTTTGGGCTTGGTCTGTGAAGGGCAGGATACAACTTTCTTTCCTAACATGAACATGCTCCTATGGAGAGCTGTTACAATCCATTGGTCCAAAGTTTTCAGTTCTGTAGGAGGAAGAACCATCAGAAGCAGCTGGAGAATCTCCAGCTCTGGAAGAACTATGCATCCATAGATACTTAGTCTTATCAGGGTTGAAGCGTCTTCATCCCCACCCAGACCCAAAGAGTTTTAGATGGACCTCAACAGCATCCCTTGATTGATCAGGGATTGAGATATGCAGCTTCCTGTTGAGAGCTGTTACGATCCATTGGTCAAAAGTTTTCAGTTCTGTATAGTATGGAGAAGAACCATCAGAAGCAGATGGAGAATCTCCAGCTCTGGAAGAACTATGCATCCATAGATACTTAGTCTTATCAGGGTTAAGTTGAAGCTTCTTCATCCCCACCCAGACCCAAATATAGGACCTCAACAGCATCCCTTGATTGATCAGGGATTGAGATATGCAGCTTCCTGCTGAGAACTGTTACAATCCATTGGCCAAAAGTTTTGAATTTGAAAAAGCAGACCAATTCCATTCAACAGTTGGGAGTCCTTCTTTGATCCGGATATGATCCAATCCAATTCAGTTTCCTAATCTGAACCAATCTGATGGGCGAATGGGATTTAGAAAGCTGAACTAAATCATCAAAATCAGGTTCTCTGTTTGCTTTTCTGATTGGATAAATCGGCCTTCTGCAGGTGCCCCAGAACTTTTTATCTTCTGAATCAAATTTATTTTTTTAATTTGGCAAGTTAAATTCAATAAGCCAGGACACAATTCACTGCATTTATTGTTGTTGTTTTTAAGTCACTTTTCTCAAATGCTGGCACGATCTGAAATCTGTTTTATATTAATACTGTTTTTTCCTTTTTATTCCAGGGGCCTTAACAAGCAAGGTTATCAGTGCAGGCGTAAGATCTTTCAGTATATGATATTAATTTTAAGGTTGATGGTTACCATAGCTGTGTGATATTTCTTACTGCTCTGCTGAAAGTCTGAGAATGAAAGAGATTAAGTAATCACAGAAACTCCTGCATAGAAACAAAGCAAGCATTTTTTTCTTAAAGTGTTACAATCCTGTTCATATTTTCACAGTTTTCACAACACAGTTCCAAGCCATTGGTGGTCTCTGGGATAAAAGATAGACATTTTAGGGTTTTCTGTTTTTCTTAGGGTCTTCAAGGGGAGAAATTAGTCTCAGAGTGAGAAGCCAGAATCAAGGGAGAAATTATTTTCTGATTGGATTGAGACTTTCAGCTTTCCGTATTAGTCAGAATATAGCATTACTTGGTGCCGTGTTCTGCCCCTCTAAACTCGAACCATCTCAAACTTTAAAATAAGTCAACCCTTTTTTCAGATTGACAGTTACAGTTTCTCTTTGAGTACCATGCTAGGAACTGCGGTCCCAAAAGAATGAAAATTTGAATTTAAACCCTAACCCTTGTTTAAATTTAGATTTAACTGACATTATCGATGAATTCAATACCAGAGCTACATTTAGCTGTATAGATGTAATTGGGTTCTCCTTCCATCACATCAAAATGATGATGGGGGCAAAATTTAGAAGGGTCTCAGTGATTGCTCCTGAGACTGGAGAGGCCAGGTTGGGAATCCCTGTCCCCCAACTCCTTACCTATCTTTTAGGGGGGGGGCCTCAGCTAGCTCTGGCCTCTGAGCCTCAGGAGTCAGCCTGCAGCAGTTCTAGAGGTAAATTTTTTGCAAGGCTGAACCTGGGGAAAAAAAGGAAGGGGGAAAAAAGGAATATCTGGGAATTCCACGAGAGACTTCTGCTGTAAGATCTCAGAGAAGAAGGGAAAATGCACTATTTTGATGGTTCTGCCCCTAAGTGCACAGTTGGGCCCAGGGATTCTGCTGGGTGTGGTCAAAAAAGTCAAGATGGAGGTCATGCTGGCATGATCAGAGCTCTGCTTGTTTTTTACGTGGCACCTTGACTTCTTTGACCAAACCCAGTGGTCACCCTGGACTGGATCCAAACTGGATTGTCTCCTTTGGGCATCCTGGAGGTTTTCTGCCCAACAGTGTGTACAATAATTGCAATTTTTGTCGTGGTCCTTCCATATCACCTCTGCAACTTTTTAGTGAAGAGCATCTCCTTTCCCGCCAGAGTGCAACGCTGCCATTCACAAGAAATGCATCGACAAAATCATTGCAAAATGTACCGGATCGGCCATCAATAGTAGAGAAACGATGGTAGGTATGGGGGTGTGGTTTTTGTGACTTAGCAGCTAGAGTCACATGACACACAAGGTGCTGAACCTGGTTATGATAACCTTGGTTTGATTTTCTGTGTCTTAGCACACTGTGTGAATCCAGTTCTTTTAGTTACTACCCCAGGGTACTATGAGAAGTCCCCCCAAAAGCAATTTAATAACCATTGTGTGGAGTGCGAATGTAGCCACAGGTTTAACCTGGTTCCTGAAGTAATCCACAGTACAATAAACCACATAAACCCAACCCTAACTAAGGTTAGTGTGTTGTGTGAATCATCTGCCAGTTCTTTTAGGTTTTATTGATTTTATCGTAATTTCTTTGTTCGATTGTTGTGAGTCACCCAGAGTCGTTGAGAGTTGGGTGGCGTGCAAGTTTAAATAATAATAATAATTATTATTATTACTATTATCTGATCTGGTTGAGTTGTGGAATGCAGCCGTCGGCTGTACTTGGTTATTTTTGGAGCGTGGCCCTCGGCATGCCGTACAGAGCCCAGTGGGGCCCTCAGTCCAGCCACAGTGGTGCAACCCTTGTGTAAAGTGTAATCCAAGGTTTGGAACCCACAGCCCTACAGATACGTTAAAAGAAATTGCCTTGCACGCATCACCTTTACTCATGCTGGAGGGGGCCTCTAGAAGTTGTCAATTCTGCAGCCCCGCTCGGAAGCAAAAATCATAGCCTTTGTCTGGCAAAGCATCAGCTTCCGTGCTGAATGCAATCGGAGTGGCATTTCTGAGATTCGCAGAGGCCGACGGAGCCCAAAAGCAGACTAAGGCAAACTATTTCTGTACGGTCACCCAACAAAGCTACAGGAACGTATTAAACCTTTTGTTCCCCCTCTTCCTTCCAGTTCCACAAGGAAAGGTTTAAGATTGACATGCCCCATCGCTTCAAGGTATATAATTATAAAAGCCCCACCTTCTGCGACCATTGTGGAACGCTGCTCTGGGGCCTGGCGCGGCAGGGCTTAAAATGCGACGGTGAGTTGAGGTTCCCGATGCGTTGGAGAAATAGATTTGGTGGGTTCCCCCCTTCCAGCGTGACGCTGAGCATTTTGAGATAGAAAATCTCAAAATTTTGAGAGCGGAGGCGTTTGTCCCCCGCGTTGAGTTCCGTCACTGATTTTTCTGGGCTTAGCATGTTATGCAAAATAAGCCCATTTGGGAAGTTTATGCTTTGCTGTGGGCTGCTAACCCTGAGCATGGATGAATTCAATATCCGCATTAAGCTGAGGCTATCCAGGCTAAGGTGCAAAAAATCCAGATAGCCACACAAGGGCAGCAAAGTTAGACGTTGCTGAATCTCTTTGCCACCCTCCAGCGGTCATCTGGGCATTGGGCAGCCCAGGTCTGCTAGTTTTGGCCGCAGCGTGTTACGTGGAGACATTCCTCTCGACCAGGAATTAAAAAATAGGAGATTCCAACCTGCCCACGGGCTGAAGCCCATCCAGGTTATCTCAGCCCCCTACCCATTGTGATCCGTGTCAAAACGTTGCCAATCCCTGATCTAGAAACAATCCTCGTTCCACCATGAGAACCCTGTTCTGTGGCCTCTTTCATCTTCTATGCTGTGATTGTCCGTGGGGGGAGAGGCCAAGGGGAGGAGAGGATGACACATCCATGATGGTGCAGTCATGTAAACGCCATGATTTCTGTTCAACCTCCTGTTGCAAGGATATAAGTGGGGCATCTCCAGGATGTCCCTTGGGCCCACTACGAGCCTCTTTCCCTCCCCACCTGCTTTTCCCCTCCCCAGCTCTCAATCCAGAGTTTGTGGAGAAGAAGCTGGGCGATTTGCTCCCTAGTTGATCAAACCAGATTTGATTCCAGCAGCAGCAGATGCCCGAGGCCCTAAATCAGCAGCCTCTGCCAAAAACTTTTCTGCACCTTCAGGTCCTGTGGAGTCCTTGGTGCTCTCTGAGCTTGGTTGTTTGCTTGCAGACGTTTCATTACGCAACTAGGTAACATCATCAGTGCACAACCGAGCTCAGAGAGCATCAAGGATTCCTCAGTTCAACCTTGAGCTACATATATTCTCTTCTATGGGATTCTTGTGCTCTTCCTACAGATCTGGGCCTGTTTTCTCAAGCACGGTGGACTCTGTTCCACAAAAACATGCACATTGTTCATCTTGCTGGGGCAGTAGATGCTTTTATCGATCCTTTGCTGCAGCTTTTTAAACCCAGCATCCCATTTACGGCCACTGTACTTTAATTTACGTCCTGACAAGGCGGCAAACGATTTAGCAATAAAGTGTTAGAAAATGAAAACAATAAAGCAAGGTGCAGTTTGGGCACAAGAACGTAACCTCTACAAGTTTAAAAACAAATGTCTTGCAAGCAGTTTTGAAGCCAGAAGCCTGATTGGTGACTTGGTCTTTCCCTTGCAGCCTGCACCATGAACGTCCATCACAAGTGCCAAACCAAGGTGGCGAATCTCTGTGGGGTAAACCAAAAACTCATGGCAGAAGCGTTGGCATTGATTGAAAGCAGTCAACAGGTGAGTAAGTGGAAGGTCCTGTGGCTGTTTTGTAAAGAAAAATGATTTCAGGACAGGTGGAAATGAATGGAGATAATCTTAGTTTGCAGCCACTGTGAGTTGTCCCTGACTAACAAAAGGTCCTCCAGACAACAGATTCTCCCAGGGGGGCCAAAAAAATGGTCACCAGCATCATCAAACGTTTACACTGATGGAGTTTCATAGCACTTTCTGTCTTCTTGTTTCTTAAGGCAGACTCCAATATAGGGGAAAACAGAAGAGAGATGGTAGGCACACCCTTACACAGTCTCATACAAGGGTGTTGGGGCCTCAAAATGACACAATCTCCTGAGATTGCCAGATTTTGTGAGAATTTGGCCGTTTTGCCCCCTGCCCTGAGTACTGTTGTTGCCCCCAAAACTGTAGGTAGGGGTGGGAAAGCAAGGGGAGCGTGTTTCACTCAGTCTGGGCAGAAACCAAAAAGGTATCCACTGGGCGACGTTGGAGTTGAATGGAACATGACCTTCTAGGGTTGAGGCTAGTTCATTGACTTAACAGGCCATTGTTGGATCAATTGCAAGAATATTTCAAAAATGGCAGCTGTTGGCCAGCAGAGAATGTTGTAGCTCAACAACCCGGGACAAAATGGCTGCCCAGCCACTGGAGGGGAGGGCCGTGCCAGGCCTGCAGCCAAACAGAGCTGGGCTGCTACTGGAGTGGAACGAAACACTAGACACCATACTCTCTGAAGGGCTTAAATCAGCCCAGTTTGGAAAACAGACATGTCAAATCAAAGCTGAAAATGATGGGTCCTGGGTGCATTTGCAATGGGTGGGAGTGGGAGGCAGATAACGTCATCCATTATGGAGTCCTTGGGGTTCCCTGAGCTTGGTTGTTTTCTTGCAGGTGTTTCGTTACCCATCTAGGTAACATCTTCAGTGCTAGAAGGGAGTGGGGTTTGCTCTCGGTTTACATACAGTAGCTTGCCCTGTCAGTGTTGATGGGGGTGTTGTTGTTTCCTTGGTAGTTCTTAGATTAGGCTGTTGTTTACTGCTTGATTGTTTGTCTGGTGTTAATCCCTGCTTATCTGGGTGTTGACTGCTCGCAAGGAGGTGTTCTGGTCTTTTTGTTTCCTTTTTATTGTCTCTTTTGAATGGTGTGTAAATGTGGTTTATGTGTCTATTGATGGCTGGTTTGTCTGAATGCCAAGCTTCCAGAAATCTGCTTGATTGTTTGTCTGGTGTTAATCCCTGCTTATCTGGGTGTTGACTGCTCGCAAGGAGGTGTTCTGGTCTTTTTGTTTCCTTTTTATTGTCTCTTTTGAATGGTGTGTAAATGTGGTTTATGTGTCTATTGATGGCTGGTTTGTCTGAATGCCAAGCTTCCAGAAATTCCCTCACATTTTTGGATTGAGCTTGGTCTAGGATACTGACAGTTTTCCAGTTGAAACTACGGTTGAGTCTGTCCATGTGTTGTGAGATTAAGGAGTTTTCATCGTGTCTTCTGACTGCTAGTTGGTGTTCATGGGTGCGCTCTGCTAGTCTTCTGCCTGTCCTACTTAGTGGCTGTATATAAACAGAATGCAAACCTCACTCCCTTCTAGCACTGAAGATGTTACCTAGACAGGTAACAAAACGACTGCAAGAAAACAACCAAGCTCAGGGAACCCCAAGGACTCCACAGGTCAACCCTGAGCTACAGATATTCTCTTCTATTGTCATTCATTATTGCACTCAGGAAACAGTGAATGGGTTTTAATGGTGATGGGCCGAGAGAATCTGCCCTAGGACTGAACCTCCCTCAGATCTATCTTTCCATCTACACTTCCCAAATCGTTCTCTGAAGTTTACCCCCACCCCTCCGGAATATAAATGAGGGTATTTGCTCCATTGCCATGTTTTGATTGGTGGCTCCACCACTCGTTCATCACAAGGGGTATGGCATAGAGTCCAGCGCTTGTTTGCACTGTGTTGCTAGCAGAGGCATCCACAAGGGGTGGGAGTGTCAACGTTTGCAAGATGCAGATTTGCAAGATGCCGATTTCAGCCTACCTCCCCATTGGGAGACATATTTAAAGACTGATTCCACATACACAGAAATGCTTTGGTGCTTATTTTTTATCTTTTCCGCCTCCATCCTCAACCTGTCGCACACCTCTCAGTCTTACTTGATTCTTGACGCTGTTGCATTTGTTAGGGTATTGTGAAATTCAAACACATAACCATTCTTCAACGCGAAGGACGAATAAAGAAGAATCTAGGGGAAATTCCACTCCAGAGCAGCAGCAAATCCTTGCAAGTGTACCAGCCTTGCCCCCTTGCAAAAACCAGGCTTCTTGTTCCATAACTGGATGAAAAATTGCAAATAGTGGCTTTTTAGACCTCGCATCTGTTGGGCAAGGGGGCGAGAGCTGCATCAAAAGGTAGAAATGTTCTCCACTATCCTCTGCTTGCTGATTGGCAGGACCTCTGGATTTGTGCCTGCTCCATCTCTGCAAGATGTCAGCAGGCGTGTTGCACGGATGTGTCATTTTCACGCTGTGTGTTCTGTGTTGATTCAGGCTCGAAATCTGCGTGACTCAGAGCAGATCTTGCGAGAAGGACCAGTGGAAATATCCTCCCGTGTGAAAGAGGCGCCGTTGAGTCCTTCAGTGCCCGAACTTCCAACAGGCAGAAAAGGTATTGCATTTTATTGATATCTTTTCCCAGTAGAATTTTCCTCACCTCCGGGCTATATAACCGATGTTGATTTTAATTAAATGACACACACACACACTTCTGGGACACCCTGAAAAGGAGGCAAAGGATTAACTACTTGGTTAGCTCGGTTCCTGAATTAATGCGGTTCCTGGGTTCACAGGATACATTAAATTATAAACTCCCTGCAAGGGCTGAGTTCCTTCAATGTGCTAGGCTCCAGAAAAATCAAACCAAGGTTAAAATTAACTGTGCTTAGCATGTGGGTGCAAATGCAGCCCCTAGATTCGGTAAAATGTGTCTACGAATAAAGCTTAGGACTGCAGTCTTATATATCAAATTTCTGGCTTGCTGTAAAGGTGGTGGACTACGACTCCTATAAATCATGGTCCGTGGGAATTAGGGACCACATAGGGTGCATAGGTATTGCAGAAGGGCAGGATGTCACCCCGCAAATGACACAAGGATGTCATTTGTGCAATGACATCATCCTACTTGTGTCATCCTTTGGATGTCACTGTGCCTTGTATTGGATACCTGAGATACAGTGTCATACTGGAGAAGGCTAGTATACAGTGTTTCTCAACCTTGACAACTTGAAGATGTGTGGACTTCAACTCCCAGAATTCCCCA